TTGAAGTAGTACCCGGGGGGGGGGGGAAGCATCACACATCTGTAATTCTCCACCAAAATAATCACACTGCAAACACTCACTGTCAGGCGGCAGAGCTCAAACGGCAGATGATTTTGAAAGAGATGCCCCCAGGTGCTGAGGTAAGGCGGGAGGGAGTAGAAAAGCATCCAGCTGAGGTCTCAGGGTCACAGGGCAGACTCTGGAGGCATCCAAATGGAAGCTGCATCAAAGCGAGAGCTGAGCTGGAGCTCGCGTGCATCCCAGTCCTTCAGAGCAGAGACGTAGCACTGGGCCGCCTGTACCAGCCCACGTACAAAAGCACTTGCCACACCAGGGTCCTTCCAGTCAGGGGGTTATCTCACACTTTCATTTTATTGTCACTCCTCCCAGCAGAATTAGCCCGGCCTCAGGGGAGCTGTGCAGCTGTGGCAGAGCTATGCAGCTGTATCCTCCATGGTCCTGCCCCAGTCCACACCAGGCACGAGGGCTGAGCGATAGGATGTCCTGTATTTCCTGGCATGTCCCAGTTTAACACATTGCAGGACTTTATCCTCCAGGTCTTCTCTTCTGCAGCCAAGTCAGAGATGTTTGTCTGAATCGGGGCAGGTTTAAACTTAAAAAGAAAAGAAAAGAAAAAATGTTACATATTTCAGATTTGTTTATTAAGTACACACAAATTTGAAGATTTGGGAAAAACATTGTTCAAAGTTTTAAAAAATAATAGAAACTGAAATAGGAGAAAAACAGCTAAACTGGTCAGCCCAGCCTTGTGGAGACAACAGTCAGTCTTCAGTCTGCAGCAGAGTACCCCCCACTCCTGCCACTCACTCCGTGAAGAATTGCTGCCTTCTACTTTGAAAGTGGCTCTCACAAGCTTGATGCTTCTCAGCCACTCACTCCGTGAAGAATTGCTGCCTTCTACTGTGGCTCTCACAAGCTTGATGCTTCTCATTTTTTATGGGAAAGGACAGCAAAAAATCTCCAGTCACCTCTTTATGCCACACGGTATTTTGCAGCCCTCCACACAGACCTCCAAAAGCTTGGCAGCAGGAACCACATATTGCATCTTCTGCAGATGGGCTGAGCTGTTAGCTTGCCACAAATCTCTCTCTCGAGCAAAGACATCAAAACTTCGCAAGTGCCAAAAGCATACCCTTGTCAAAAAAGGTTCTTTTCCTTATTTCAATCTATTTAATTACTCCAGTTCAACCAATAGTGGCTGCGAAGATCAGAAACTGATGGACTATGAAGTGTGTTTTCCTCTACCGCGCCGAGTAAACATGAGCTTTGAGTGGGAGAAATCATCTGTTCCAGAAATCTCAAAGGATTTGGTTCAGTTAAACCGCTTCCAAACGCAAAAGCAGGCACTAAGAATTCTTCCCCATCCAGCACATCTTGAGCTCTGTTTGTCTTAAAGGCAGCTTGTATATTTGAATTGATTTTAAACTCCTCTGTGTAAGTGCAGCCTGTATCAAGTCCAAATATGTTCTTCACCATTCTTAAAATAAAAGTCAAGAATTTGCATGAGTATATAGAAATATATTACACTAGCTCTCTATATAAAGAGTTAGTGAAATAAAACATCACCTAGATAATGTTTTGGTCAAAAGCTTCAGCTAGTTTCAAGCTAACATGCTTTAATAGTTGTTATTCAATTTGAAACTAGCTTGCTGTATATTTATAATGAAATATAATATGGGTTATTTAAATCAAGGATTTTGCGGATTCAAACTGTCATTAAAATCACCTTTTTAAGTGACTTTGATTCAAAATTAAATTTGGCCTGTAAATCATCTCTAAGTTGAACTACTCTGTATTAACGCAGACATTTCTGAAGGAAAACTCAAATAATATTTTAATGAGAAGATCATTACAAAGTTCAGCCTGCAAGCCATGATGCGATTCATGGCACACCCCACTGGGTTTTTGGTCTCTTTCCTGTCCATTAAAAACCAAGTTGTTTCCATACATTGGCCACAGCCTTACTGAAGAGTTGGCATCGGCTCAGGGGACTTTGATGGCTTCTGCCCTGCTCCTGGATAAATGCAACAGGGAAGGAGCGGGCAAGCACGGGTTGGCACAGTGAGCTACTGGGAGAGGATTCAAGCAGAGTTTGCAGCTGGACAGAAAAGTCCATAGAGCAGGAGTGAACCTATAGCAGGAGTATGGCAGTGAAGTCCTATAGCAGGACTGAAGGTTAGAATCACAGAGTCCCAGACTGGCAGGGGTTGGAAGGGACCTCTGGAGATCACCCAGTCCAACCCCCCCTGCTCACCCCAGAGCAGGGTGCACAGGACATTGTCCAGGTGGGGTTTGAATATCTCCAGAGAAGGAGACTCCACAACCCCCCTGGGCAGCCTGGGCCAGGGCTTGGTCACCCTCAAAGTGAAGTTCTTCCTTATAGCCTGGGGGAGAGGCAAGGGAAGTTTGCCCAGGCAGAACCCCAGCCTGATTTATTGCTGGTTTTCCTGAGCTGGCACAGGGATTTCTGTGCAGAACTTCAGGG